GCAAAATGTAGTGAGCTTGAATTTGTTGCTCTGTAGAGCCTAGCTCTTCTTTTTTGTATCTTCTATTTCCATTCTAGATTTGCTTTTTGCATGTGTTCTTCGTGCATTACTTGCTTTCTGTTAGATAGTTTTATCACCTTGTTTGTGTTCTCCAGTGCCATCTCTTAAAGGTTATTGACATTAACCAGCTCAATTTGTACAACCTCAAGCTTATCACATGATTTAGGACAAGGTATTTAAGTCTTTGAAATTGGAGATTTGCAACCTTTAAATATTTGAGGTTTGCTCTTTCAATCGGCAATACTTCTTTAGTTGGTTAAAACCTCCAATCTTTGAATATCAGGTCGCCCTATTGAATGATATTTTGCCAACTTTAGGACCTCAAGACATTCCAATTGTCCCAGAGTAATCGTCTCACTCTAAGCAAACCTTGTATATGATAAAGTTAATTTTTCTAGTTTGCATAAAGAATCGAAGAATGCTAGAGGAAGGTGAAGAGCTTTGCTCAAGAAACCAATATCCTTTAGCAACTTCTAATGTTCCAAAAGCACTTTAGATTTTCAAAACGGCTAAACTCACACTAGTTAGTTTCTGACAAGCCAATCATTTGTCCTTTAATACTCACTTTTCTAAGATTACAAGCCCTTGATAGCACATTTCTTTTCGCAAATTCCTGATGCAACTTAAGAAAGAGTTTGTAAGCAAAAAGATTCACCCGTTTGGCTAGGAAGGGACAAAACAGTCAACGAAATTAGAATGAACCATGAAAAATTAAAGCTCAAATCAATGAAAAATAAAACAAGTTAGATGATTTATTTTCATTTATATAAATCTTGGTATATGAAATTATCTAGTATTTCTCCTCTTATGTATCTTGCAAATAAAAGATTTCATTGTCAATAAGTCCTTCCGTTATTCTATTCAAGCCTCTCCCATGAAAGAAGAGAAAAAGAATCTTAACTTCCACACTTGTTCTAATGCGCAAATTTTGCCGGGACATTGGTGTGCATATGTCTCAACTGTAACATGATCCCTACTCGTACTTTTATTACAATAGAGAACGCCTTTGTATTAAATACAAGCTTGTAGATTCCAAAAGGGAATAGGCCCAAAAAAACATGAACTTGTGTGTTATTTGCAATTACACAATTATTCTTTGAAAGGGTCCTATAAACCCTCTGGACTATTTTTAAGTGGAGTATATACCCTCTTGAGAAGTCACACCTAAAACTATACTAAATGGTGATATACACATGCTCCCACATATTAATTTCATAATTATTTTTTAGTTTTTCTTCTTCTTTTCCTTTTATCCTTTTTTCTATACCATTTTTTTCTTTCATTCTTTTCTTTTAACCTGACACTATGTCGACAATCAGAAGCCATGGTTTCTTCCTCTTATCTCTCTTTTTTCTTCTATTTTCTTTCTTTTCTTTTTTCATTCCTTTCTTCTAGAGTCTAATCAACAAAACATTCTTGAGAAAAACCAAAAAAAATATTTTTCAAATGGAAAGAAGACGAGAAAAGAATTTTTATTTTTTTTGTACTTTAACGGCTTTATTAGTGGAACAAAAGAAACTAAAAAGAGCAATTGATTAAGGGTGTGTTTGGTATTTTACAGAAAATATTTTTCAAGTTTGATTGGCTTAAATGTTATGAAGAAATATTTTCTTGAAGAAAAATATTTTTCAATACTCTCTTTCAATCATTCTCACCACTACTGCCATCCCCCAATCCACACCCTTGCCACAGCAAGCCCCTAGACCCTAACCTATCACCTTGCACTCGATCTTCACCCCGCCTACCCCTGACCCACCCCCACCTCGACAACCCTCCAACTCTACACCCCGGACCACCTCCCTCTCAATAGCAAATCCCTCCTCACTATCACCACCAACCCACCCTCAGCCCCCTTTCCCTCGCCTTGTCCCACCCCTTCCTCCCACCAACTCCTGCCATCCCTACCCCGCCCGTCTCAGACTTCGTGAATCAAAACACTAAGGTCAGAGGCCCGGTGTCGAAGTAAGGGACCAGGTGTCGGGACAGGGTCAAGTTTGGGGTCGGCCACCTGAGCCCGATGTCGGGGGTGATGTTCGGGTCTAGGATTGGGGGTCGAGAATGGGGTTGCGGTTGGGGTAAGGGTTCAGGTTCAATGTTGGGGCTAGGTTGTCAGGATCCACTATCAAGGTTCAGTTCGAGGTTGGGGTCCATGATCGATGTTCGGTTCGAGTTGGGGGTCAAAGATCATGGTCAAGGCATATGACCGAGATTAGGGATCGAGGTTCGAAGTCTAGGTTCGGGTTAGAGTCAAGGATTGTTATCGCGGTTAGGTATAGGGATAAGGGTGTGGATACGGAGTCAAAGTCTAGATCGTGGTCGAAATCGAGTGTTGGGGTCGGGGTCAAATATCGAGGTCTAGGGTGTGAGTCTGGGATTACAGTGCTTGAGGTGATAAGGTAATATTGAAATACGGCTCAAATCTCAAAGCTAACATGCATGCTAACAAAAGATCTCCTAGAGAGAGAATGATAACATTTGTAAACTTTATGTGTTCTAGGATCAAGTTTCCCAAAATTCCTAGTGTAGACAAAGCAAACACACCCAAACACCTTTGGAGGAATAGTATATTCATGCTTACGTTTTAAAGCTTCCAGAAGACTACGAAAAATGAGGGTTTTAAGTGGCATTTTGTTGATAAGATAGACAGCAACTAGAATAGCATCCCCCGGTAAGGTTTTGATAGATGCATGTTGAACACAAGAGATCTAGCTACTTCTAACAAATGCTATATTTTCTTTCAGCGACCCCATTTTGTGCACTAGTGTAACGACAACTAGTCTGATGGACTATCCTATTGGACTCCATATGAGAACCAAATCTTTTATTCATATATTCGCCACCATTGTCAGTTCACAAGATTTTTATTTTGGCATCAAAATGAGACAAATTATCTTATGAAATGACTGAAAACAAGAGAAAACTTCACTTTTGGCTTTTAACAAAAGTACACAAGTCATCTTAATGCAGAAATCAATGAAAGTAACAAATCTATCAATTACCAGACGAGAAACAATTTGAGTATGACCTTATAAATCATAAGGAATAGTCATAAATGGAGTTATGCTTCTATTATCACTCACAGAATAAGAGTTTCTAGTATACTTGGCATATTCAAATGCATCACAAAACAAAGATTCAAATTAAGTCCTCGAAAACAAATCGGGATATAACTTCTTCAAAACAAAGAATGATGGGTGTTCTAACCGTCTATACCGATTTATTATTTCTTGGTTAACATTCTTACTTTCCCAAAAAAGGCTTGACCAGAGTTTTGAATTATATCTAATATATACAAGTCATCATACAATCTACCACTGTCAATCCTTTTCCTTGTTTGAAGATCCTGAAAAATACAATGATTGGAAAGAACTTAATTTTACAGTTTAGAGCTTTGTTGATGGCACTAACAAATAAAAGATTGACAGCAGGGACATGGAGTACGAATGATTAGTTCAATATTAGGAGTACAAACGACAGAATCTGTTCCTGAGATAGGTGTTAAAAAACCATTGGCTATTTTAACATTATCTTCTTTGAGACATGGAGAATAGTTTCTAATGCCTTTAGAAGAGCCAGTCATGTATCTACTTGCACAAGAATCAACAATCCAAGAATTAAGGTGAGCAGCAAAGGCAGTACCTGATTGTACATAATTGGATGTGGCAATATTAGCGGAATCAAGTTTGGCTATGAGGCGATGAAGAAGTTGAATTTCCTCCGAAGACATAATTTCTCCAGAAACCGTCTCCATGAATGCATCCATATTTTCTGCCTAATCAGAAAGAAATCTGAAGAAAATTGCTCAGAAACATTTTGCCTCGCCGAAAACAAAATATGTCTTGACAAAAACGTTAACTCCGGTGAATAGAAAAATCAAAACTGGTAGGGATAGGCTCGGAATGTTCCAGCCATCCCAATAGAAAAGAAAATTCCAAAAAAAAAGACTGACCAGAAGGAGTTTATGTTGGGAACAGTCATCAAGAGAGATAACTCAATCTCTTTGATAAAAATGAAACCCTAATGCTCCGAGGGAGATAACTCATCTAAAAAAGGCAGCAATGGCTCAAATACCATGTAGATTTTGAGAAGAAGAAAAGGCTTCTTGTGTGTTTGTGTGTGTTTACATCCCATGAGCAACAGAATATATACAAAGCTCCTAATGTTAATTAAGGAAATAAAATAAATCTAAATAATCAATCCGGCTATCAATCAAATCAAATCTCCTAAACACAATCAAATTTCCTAAAATCATGCGAGAATCAACAATCTCCTACAATCATGAAAATCAAAGAGAATAATGGTTGGAAGATGGGTAATCTCAAAGTCCTAGACTAATAGCAACTAGTACACCAATAGAGGTGGTATTTGGGTGGCCGAAAATGGCCGGAAACCGCCTAGGTAGAGACGACACAAATACTCTTAAGAATATCGGAAACAAGTGAAAATATGGAAGAACAATTGCCTTAACCTACAAATTGCAATGAATAAGCTCAGGAGTCTACTCCAATTAACCGAAGAAGCTCATGAGCATCAGATAAGGGACGATTGAGCAACTCAAGCGAACTGCCTTACCTTACTCCACCATAGAGATAGAAGCGAGAAGGTTGTGAAGATGGCCTCATTTTCCATACATCCAATCCTGTGAATGGAGGACCGACTTACCCGAGTTCTCACGAACGTTGACAGGTTTTGGGATGCCCGTCCAACATTCGATTAGAGATGGTCCAGCGCGAGAGGTATGTGATAAAGGAAAAAGTCGCAAACAATTCAACGCATGCGCAACCATGGCTAATCCAACGAAATCACGTGGGATTTTTCTACTGGAATATCGTGAACCTCTTGGTCATTTTAATTGAAGCACGACGTTCACACACAAAAAAAGGCACCTTAGGTATCACTCATAGCCACCGAAAAATTGCATTGTGATAAGATTTCTCTAGCACACATTGCTGATAAATGCACAATGAGCGAATTTTCACAATGTTTTGATGCCATGTGCAAAAAAAAAGGATTAAGTGAATGCATGGAAAACCTATCTTACATCCCAATCTCCTTATTTTATACTCCCTCCGTTTTAATTTATGTGAACTCATTTGACTGGGCACGGAGTTTAAGAAAAGAAAGAAGACTTTTGAACTTGTGGAATAGAATGAAGCACATATATTTTGTGTGGCTATAAATCATTGCATAAAGGTAAATTGTTTCCAAATAGGAAAAGAGTTAATTCTTTTTGGCACGGACTAAAAAGGAAATAGGTTCATATAAATTGAAACGGAGGAAGTACTTTTTATGTGTATTTAGTGAATTTTTTAATGCGAAACACTTATAGACACTTCTCAATATAACATGTATGTCTAATCAATTTATATAATTTACCAAAACCGCATTTCAGAACAAGAGTTCAGTAGATGAATAGATGATACAATAGTGTGATACTTCACCTGAGCATATGAAGAGATTTGAGGCACCATGCTCTAGTGATTTGGTTCAGATTTCGCACCCTGTGGCTTTAAAAATGGACATTCTTGAGACTGCATATGGAGTTTGATTGCAATCAGAACAAGGATAAAGATATAAATATGAGAAAAGAGCAAATCAAAAACCAAGTAAAATTTAGATAACAGGGAATGCAGCAACTAAAGTTATTGGGAATAATATAACAAAAGGAAGTCTGGTCGTTATGTGTTTATTTGTCCAGATGACAGTAACTAATACACCATTAACAAGATGGAGCTTTAGGGGCAAACTAAAATTGCACCTAGGGAAAGATTTGACCATATTCGAATAAAATAGAGAAGTCATAAAAGGGAACAAGCTCAGAAATACGTTACTTCTCCCATTTCAATTTGAATATCAAGATTCCAAATTTCAGCATTATCATTTCTGCCACCTTCATCTTCTGGACATGGGAATTCTTGACTGGCCAACACTCTGCCCCATACAACATAGCCAGTCTTAACCACCGCTCTATAGAAGTTACCTTTAAAAATAATTGGCAACATCTACAGCCAACATAAATATAATTATGCTAAAACTTAGTTGAAAATTCAATAAGATCATTGACTGTGTCAAGATACTCCTTCAATATTTCCAACAAAAGTGCAAAACATACCCAGTGAAGTCATATCTAATACTCTACGATCACCTGTACTCTTTCAGTTTTATGCACTTTGTAAAAAATCAATAATTGAAAAACTTAAAACCTCTTACAAGTAAGTTTTTAATACTCTACTCTTAACCATCGAAGAGTATTTCATCATCTACGTGGTCTTGCTGTATCACTATAATTTATCATCCATTCTTCATCCCCGGTGCAACTCTCACCCCATCTAAAGACAGCACCAAGAAGATATAGACTTCAATAAAAGGAAGGTCACAAAATACAGGCTTTAAAATGGCATGACGAGATATCCAGATGGCTGCATGGAAACAACAAATCCAGCTTCTGAAGATTGGTCTGCTTGATCAAAGAAATCATCAGTCTTCCATGCAAGTGTGACAATCTTCCAGATCAACAACATAACAGTGTGAAAGAGGAATATGGTGAAAGGATTTTATAACAGGCGCATATGCTGCAACTAGTGCGCCCTAAGCATTCAGAAACCACCTCTAAAGACAGTCAATACCACCAGCCTGCTATAAGCATTTTGATCCTAATGAGCTGGTCCCATAAGCACTTCCTAACTACATAATTAAAATATGCAACTCTGAAATATAACCACCAGCCTGCTACAAGCATTTTGATCCTAATGAGTCGGTCCCATAAGCACTTCCTAACTACATAATTAAAATATGCAACTCTGAAATATAACCACCAGCCTGCTACAAGCATTTTGATCCTAATGAGTCGGTCCCATAAGCACTTCCTAACAACAGAATTAAAATATGCATCTCTTTTATTTGAATTTGTTCTTTCATACTTTATACTCCTCTATGAAGTTTAAAACTCGAATGGGAAAAGAATGTCGTATCTGGACATGGCATAAATGTTCAATGATCAGACAAAGAAAATAGAAATACAATACACACATCCAGAAATTGTTGGAAAAATATACCTAAAACATGAAATATATGTGGTTGGATACCATTGACCCGACACAAATATAATAACATTTTGGAAATTTTGTTCTTCATAGAGGGGTAGCATTCTGTTTATATGGTTAAGTTAACATGAAACAAACAACAAAAGTCTATTTAAAATTTTGAAATAAAACTGAAGGAACCAAAGAAAACTAGAAGAATTTGGTTCTATAAGATTGAAACTAAAAACCAAAACAAAACACCAATAAAATTGTAGTGCACTAATTCCCTTTTTCAGCTGAAAAGAATGGATGCCACCGCTACACTTAGGAGGTCCTTCTATGGCTAATACGCCTTTGATTTTTTTCATTACGCGGTATATTTGAAATAAAGTACTCTATATGCATGTGGAATGGAATTGTGTTCTCAGTACTACTAGCTGATTCTTGAAAGGTTGCATACCTGCTATAAGAGAGACCTCAATGTATTTGTTTCCCACCAACTTTATTTTTCCTATACATAACAAACAATCTCACCTTAGTCCCAAAAAAAAGTTGAGGTCGGCAGAACGAATCCTCGCTTCTTTCTTTATATATAAGCTCCATTCATATCATCATCATACCAAAATAAAATAATAGTTGTGAGTAATAATATATACATAAGTTCTCTAACAAATTGAAAGCCTTTATAAAAAAAGAAATATATATATATATATATATATAAGAAAAATAGTAATAATATTAAAAGCTCTCTAACAAGTTAAAAGCCTATTCCTAACTAGTAAGTATTAACTATATTAATCTTTTTCTTTCATTATGCTCTATCTTTAGCTAAATCTGCATTGATTCCAAGGATTTATAGGTCTTTTAAAAGAACTTATTGTAGATTTTTGAGAAGAAGAAAAGGCTTCTTGTATTTCTGTGTGTGTTTACATACCATGAGCAAGGGAATCTATACAAAGCTCCTAATGTTAATTAAGGAAATAAAAAAATCAATACAATCAATCCAGCTATCAAATAAAATCAAATCTCTTGAAATCATGCTAACCAATACTCCTAAATTAAATCTGCTTTAATCATGCTAATCTCGCACAAGCGCAACTTGCAACTCAAAGTATGGAAAGTTCACTTGTTGAGACCTTTGGTAAACACATCAACTAATTGTTTTTCCGATGGCACATGAAACAAACTCAAGACACCAGTTGTAACTTTTTCTTTGATGAATTGTCGATCAATTTCCACTATATTGATGGTAGCATTATTGTCCCAGTACAAGGAAAGTTTTCTGAGTTTTCCTTTTTCAGATAGTCTCAACTCCTTTAGTAGCTTTTGTAGCCAAAGCAATTCGCAAACACCTTGGGCCAAGGCTCTATATTTTGCCTCCACACTTGATCTAGCAACTACACTTTGCTTCTTGCTTCTCCAAGTAACCAAGTTTCCTCCTACGAGCATAAGATAACGGATGTTGATCTTCTGTCATTTAGAGATCCAGCCCAATCCGGGTCTGTAAAGGCTTCTATTTGGAGGTGACCATGTTTGGAGAAAAGCTATGTTGCTTGAACTCTCCGAAAATGTGGCCTGATACATGTCGGATCCTCCAAAAGTAGTGCATTTTTGAAGGATCCGACACGGGTGCGGCTACATTTTGGAGAGTCAGCGCAACATAGGAGAAAAGTAGACCTTTCCTCGGAGCAGACTTCAAATACCGCAAAATGTGAAAGACGGCTTGCATATGAGGATCTCGAAGATCATGCATAAACTGACTCACCAGGTCTAGTGTGGGAGAGATAATGAGTCTTTCAACAAGCCTCTGATATCTCTCCTAATCAAATGACTTTCCAACTCCGCATTGTAACTTGTGATTGCATTCAATAGGCGATTCTGCAGGTCTGCAACCGGTTATACCAGTTTTTTTTCAAGAGATCTAGAATATACTTCCTTTGAGAAATAAAAATTCCTCTTTTGGATCTAACAACCTTAATTCCCAATAAATACTGAAATTTTCCTAGAACTTTGGTCTCAAATTCATGTGCCAACAACTTCTTCAACCGGGTGATCTCCTCTTTGTCATCTCCTGTCATTACTATGTCATCAACAAAAACTATAAGAAGAGTAAGTTTGCCTTTTTGATGTCTTATGAAAAGGGTGTGATCAGCATTGCTTTGTTGGTAACCAAAGGAGATCATTGCTTTACTGAATCTGTCAAACAAAACTTTGGGGGATTGCTTCATTCCGTACAACTCTTTCTTCAATCTACATACTTTTCCTCGACATTGTGCATTATAAAACCCTGGAGGAATCTCCATATACACATCATCTTCTAAGTCTCCGTGAATAAATATTTTTCACATCAAACTGTCGCAAGTCCCAATCAAGATTAGCTACACAAGACAAAAGAATTCTAATAGTGTACATCTTAGCAACAGGGGCAAATGTCTCTGTGAGAATGCACGGGAGAAAAATCTATTGATATTGTGTTGATTAACAATACTACGATGAGCCCTATATATATACACACATAACATGTCCTACTCCTAATACATAGGGTTCCTATTTACATTATTATTTTAACACTCCCCCTCAAGCTGGTGCATATAAATCATATGTACCAAGCTTGTTACATATGTAGTTAACACGAGGACCAGTGAGGGACTTGGTGAAAATATCTACAAGCTGATCTTTCGACTTCACAAACTTTGTAGCAATATCTCCCGAGAGTATCTTTTCTCTAACAAAGTGACAGTCAATCTCAATGTGTTTAGTTCCTTCATGGAACACTGGATTTGACGCAATATGAAGAACAGCTTGATTATCACACACAAGTCCCATCTGACTAATCTCACCAAATTTCAACTCTTTGAGCAACTGTTTGATCCAAATTAGCTCACATGTCGCCATAGCCATCGCTCGATATTCTGCTTCTGCACTAGACCGAGCAACCACATTCTGTTTCTTGCTCTTTCAGGACACCAAATTTCCTCCTACTAAGACACAATATCCAGACGTAGAATGTCTATCAGAAGGTGATCCTGCCCAATCAGCATCTGAGTACCCAACGATCTGCTCATGGCCTCGATCTTCAAACAATAAGCCTTTGCCTGAAGCTGATTTTATATACCGAAGAATGCGGACAACTGTATCCCAATGACTATCACAGGGAGAATCCATAAACTGCCTCACAACACTCACAGGAAAGGAAATGTCAGGTCTAGTCACTGTGAGATAATTTAATTTACCAACCAACCGCCTATATCTTGCAGGATCGCTAAGAGGCTCCCCTGTCCTGGCAGAAGTTTAGAATTTGGATCCATCGGAGTGTCAACAGGTCTACAACCTGTCATCCCTGTCTCCTCAAGAATATCTAAGGCATACTTCCGTTGTGAGATCACAATACCTGAGCTAGACTGAGCAACCTCAATACCCAGAAAATACTTTAATCTGCCATNGCGACTCTGAAATAAATAAATAAATCCCGTTTCGATTGTCCTTTAATTGGAAAAAACTCCTTGTGCCCTCGCGGGGGCGGAAAAAGGAGGTGTGACAAGTATCTTTTCTCTAACAAAGTGATAGTCAATCTCAATGTGTTTAGTTCTCTCATGAAATACTGGATTTGACGCAATATGAAGAGCAGCTTGATTATCACACACAAGTCTCATCTGACTAATCTCACCAAATTTCAACTCCTTGAGCAACTGTTTGATCCAAATTAGCTCACATGTCGCCATAGCCATCGCTCGATATTCTGCTTCTGCACTAGACCGAGCAACCACATTCTGTTTCTTGCTCTTCCAGGACACCAAATTTCCTCCTACTAAGACACAGTATCCAGACGTAGAACGTCTATCAGAAGGTGATCCTGCCCAATCAACATCTGAGTATCCAACGATCTGCTCATAGCCTCGATCCTCAAACAATAAACCTTTGCCTGGAGCTTATTTTATATACCGAAGAATGCGAACAACTGCATCCCAATGACTATCACACGGAGAATCCATAAACTAACTCACAACACTTACAGAAAAGGAAATGTCAGGTCTTGTCACTGTAAGGTAATTTAATTTACCAACCGACCGTCTATATCTTGCAGAATCGCTAAGAGGCTCTCCCTGTCCTAGCAGAAGTTTAGAATTCGGATCCATTGGAGTGTCAACAGGTCTACAACCTGTCATTCCTGTC